CCCCGGCGCGGCCTGGGCGCCCATGTGCACGGTTGAGTGTTCGCGGCAGCGGAGCGCCCCACGCAGAACTTGAGGAGGGAACCCGCGAAGGAACCGAGGGGCGGCGCGGAGCTCTCTGGCCCCGGGAGGGGTTTCGTGTCCCGCCCACTTAAGGGAGAGCTTTTGTCCATGCGACGCAGACTGCAGTCCACTGCGTGCAGGGCTCTCGGAGAGGCTGGGGCGAACAAGGTTAGGACCCCATCCGCTGCCCTTTGGGAATGTAGCGTCGCCAAGGGAAGAGGCGCTATTTTCATACCGAGGATTCCAGCAACTCCCCAAGGGGTGTTTTGCTCCTGGTATCATAGTTGCCACTCCATAAAGGACTCACCGGTGAACGAGATCAGGTTACCTGCCTGTTCGGCTCTTTTTACAGCTGTAGAGCAAGGATAGGAGGATAATACTATTGCCTTAAAGGATTATTAACAAGATAAACCTTGGAGAGCAATGTGTGAAAAGCTTTTCATACAGTACTGTCTGTCGTTATCTCAGAAGGAAAAAATTTTTTAAGTGAAATAAAAATAAGTGTACCTTACGCTTTGACTCTGTAATTGCACTCTTAGGAATTTATTCTTGACATATAATAATACAGAAGATGTTATTTGCAAAGTTTGGTTAATAACAAAAGAGGGATTGAGCAAACAGCCTGGTGAATTACATCAACCCCTTGGATTTTTATGCAGCCGTTTAAATGGCAATTTTGAAGATCATATAATGGGGAAGAGTTTACAAATAACCAAAGTTTAAAAAGCAGAATAAAAAGTTGTATGCGTGCATGCGAAAGTATCCAGCATAAGGAAAACTAAGGATATCAGCGCAGGGGGGCGGGGAACGGGGAGAGGAGGAGGCTTTGTTTAAAGCTGTCATAACAATGCAATTTTAAATGTTTAACAAAGTATAATATATTTTAATCCTATATCAGAGTCAGTCGTTATTTCCAACTCATCAGCGATGTCACTTCATCCTCCAGAAGTAGTTAACCTCCAAGAGCATCTCATCAGAGTACAACCCTACAATAAAGTGATTATATAAAGTTCCAGAAGTCAGACTAGAAATTCATTCAACAGATACTGAGTGCCCATTATGTGCAAAGCAGTGAACAAGATCCTCTAAAAATACTTCTTTGTACTACAGAAGCTCTGAAGATATACTAATCAATTTAAACAATAGCCACTATCACAATTTAAGAGACTGGATGGATAATGGCAATTAAATTTAGCAAGCTGACTTATACATACACACACATTTGCCTCATTCTTAAGGCACACACTTTGCTCCCAACCACCCACTAACATAATTTGTAGCTTTCTATTAGGTAATAGAAGTTAGGATTTCATGGGAGAGCTAAGGAGACTACCTGCTGTAAAGTTTAAAGCAGTACATTCAAATATGTAAGTGACGGTGGAGAAAAATGTATATATGCTTACTTAATATGCCTATGTGTAAGTTTAAATCTTACTGTTTAAAATGAAAAATTCAGATAAGAATGATACTTTAAAACAATTCATACTGTTAAGGAGAGCTAAACTTTTCATATAATTACATCTTAGCATTAGATGCTTGGATTGCTTCATCATGGCAACAGTTTAATCATATTTTTGAGAAAAAGGAAGGAACAACAATTCTTAGGGAATTCGCCCTCTTATTTCTTCCTAAAATAAAATCCACTTCCAATGTAAATTGTACCTATACATGTCTCTAATGGGTATGGAAATTGCAGAAAATCTTTTCAAAGCCTTTTTATTCCCTTATGACTTCTAATTCGCTCTTGGTAGAACTGAGCACTTTTTATTGAATCATTGTTTTAGGCATCTGTCTCAAGTATACTAACTCCACCTATTTCATAACGATAAAATGTCTTTTTGCATGAATGCCACTAAATAGAACTTTCCAATGAAAATGCTGTAACAGCTCATTAAATAGCGTTTTTGAGCAAAAGTTTTAAACTTTTTCATTAACGTATATTAATCACTTAATATTGTACTCTTTATAATTGTATCCTAGACCAGAGGTAAAAATCGACACCTAGTTATAAGAATATTTAAAACCTTTTGTTTAAAACATGTTTCTGTTTTTCAAGACTAATGTTAAATTTGATGTGACTTTGCAAGAAAATGCTTACCATCTGTAGTTGGTATTTTTCTTCTGCTCCAGCCATTAATATATTTTTCACATAGAAGAGTTGTCTCCAGTAATAAAAAATCTGTCTGAGATAAGGTTATGTTAATAATGGTACTCCTGTGAAGCTATTTTTATAAATTTCAAATTTAATACAGTTTATGCACCACGGAAAAAGCAAACATCAGACACTCAGCAGTTCTACTCTTGCTTAAAATTCAACTCTCTTAAATATTTAAAATATCATGAATTGAATTTAATATTTAGTTCTAGCTTCCTCCAAATCAGCTTGTAATTGATAAAGCCACAGCCCCCATGTACCTGCTTATTGTCAGTCTGACCCTTCCTACCCATCTCCACTCATTTCCTCTGCCTGCCCCATGTCCTCAAAGTTAGGTTCACTAAACACTCTGATATGCAGTCCTGTCCTGACATGGTTTAGGATTAGGTCACATTCCAAGGTATTCTCCGCGGCCCCTTCCCTGATTCCCTCCCAGCAGACCTGGTCCCAGTGATGGAAGCTGAAGTCACATCCGAGACCTGTGTCTCTCCAGGTCTGGGCTTCCCCATGCCACGAGCCTCAGCTCTTGCCTTCTCGGCCTCTACCTGGGTGTACTAAGATGGTAGCCTCTACCCACGTTCCCTTCTGAAGGAATCTGCCTTCATTTCTCTAACATAGTGTCCTAGACTCCATCTCAGAGATATTGATTCAATAGGTGGGAGCGGGTGCCTTTCTAATGCCGCTGGTGGAGAGAACCCACTCTGAAAACCACTGCCTTACACCAGGGAGGATGAGCCTGCTGGCCCTATTTGCTAGGTGAGCTTGACCTTGGCTAACTGAGCCCAAGATGGATGGCTGACCAAGAGACCAATCAGATTTTTTCTCCTTGGAACACGAAATGGGGACACTGGGAGACTGAGTTAGCAGTGGGGAGCTGAGGGTTGAGAGGTGACAGAGTTAGCGGTTGAGAAAGCCATTTTAAGGTTCAAGTAGATTAATAAAAGAGGAAATAAGTGTGAAAAAAGATACTAAAATGCAGATAGAAGTGTAGATAAAAGGCTTCATAACCCCAAAGAGGAAGACAAAGAGGGTGACTGTCTGATGGATTTCCTGCAGGTACTCCTGGCCCAGGTGTGCCTTGTTACAGTTCATTTTTTCAAGGGGCCTCACTGTGCAGAATAACTATTCCACTCCTTACTCAAGCCAGTTTAAGTGGGTCCCTGTCCTTTGCATTCACTTTGTCTCCACTTGGAAACTTCTTCGGGCCCCTCCTAAGCTCTTCCTCAAACAACCTTAATTATCTCTTTGCATTGTTTCTGCCTGTCTTCTTCCCAAACCTGGGTCTCACCTGAAACCTAGTCTGTGGCTTGGATCCTGTCACCAAGGGCAGCACCTCTAGAATCTAGAGCAGTCTAATACATACAGCTGTCATGCTCATGAAATATGGCTAGTGAAGTGCTGCAAGTATAAAATGCATATTGAATTTTGAAGATTTAGTATGGGAAAAAAGGCAAAATATCTTAATATTTTTATATTGACATATTAATATGGTAATATTTGGGATATATTGGGTTAAATAAGATATAGTTCTTCATTTTTTTAACTTTTTTTTAACATGACTACTGGAAAATTTGAAACTACAAATATGACTTTATATTTCTATTGAACAGTGATGATCTAGAGCAGGGAGAGGTTCCCAATCCCCGGGCTGCAGACTAGTACTGGTCCATGGCCTGTTAAGAACTGGGCCACACAGCTGGTGAGCAGCAGGCAAGCGAGCAAAGCTTTATTTGTATTTGCAACTGCTCCCCAGCGCTAGCATCACCACCCCAGCTCCACCTCAGATCATCAGGCATTAGATTCTCATAGGAGCACCAGTCCCTGGAGCCAAAAAGGTTGGAGACCACTAATTTAGAGGATGATGACCATCCCACCCATCTACTTCCAGTTCAACAGCAACTATCTCACACTAGTGAGAGCGGGAAGAGATCCTCCAAAAAGATATATTGAAGTCCTAAATTTCATCCTTCACCTGTGAATGTGACCTTAATTGGAAATAGGGTCTTTGAAAATGTAATCAGGCTAAGATGAGGCAATAGGATAGATCCTAATAAGAGCAAAATACCATGTGAATACAGAGACACACAGGAAAAATGTCATGTGATGACTGAGAGATTGGAGTGTATAGCTGCAAGCCAGGAATGCGTAGAGCAAGCCCTTAACCAAAGTGAATAGTGTCCTTATAAAAAGAGAAGAGAACAGAGATGCAGAAATGCAGGGACCCAGACACACAGGGAAGAAGCCCATGTGAAAACAACAGCAGAGGTCGGAGTGATGCATCTACACACCACCAGAAACTAGGAAGAGGCAAGGAGGGATTCTACCCAGAGTGCCAGAGAAAGCATGGCCTTGTCGACACCTTAATTTTAGACTTCTAGCCTTCGGAACTGTGAGAGAATAAATTGCTGTTGTTTTCAACCACCTTATTTCTGATACTTTGTCACAGGAACCCTAGGAAACTAATACAACCTCTAAGTCCCTTCCATACCCAATTAGATTGGACATAATACAAGTGAAAAGGCACACTGCATAGCTGGCTTTCATTATTTGTTGCATTTACAGCACTGCGCTTCTTAAAAAATAGAAAACCCTGTAAATCCAGGCCATTTTTATGCGCCCAATTTCAAATGTCTTCAGTATACAGACTGCCCAGTTATATTGTGAATTCTGAGTTAAAAGAGAATATAATTTGAAGAGATTGCATATTTTCCAAAGCCAATTTGGTGATTTAAGCATGGAAGTATTACAATTAAATGTTTGAGAAGTTATCTGTGCATGGTTTGCTGTAAGTTGATATCATGAAACAACACATCTTTTCAGGATGAGGTAGCAGCCCCAGCCCCGGGGGAAAGGGAGCGGGCGCATCACTCAACTGCAACTACTCTGGACAACTGAGCAACACGAGCAGGCTCAAAAAAAAAGTCATATCCAATCATCTTCAAAATAAAAACTGTAGTAGCTACAACACGATTCTCTAAGGGCGGGATGGGAGGAGATGTGGAAATATTTGTATGATGCAGTCTTCGTGGGTAATGCAGAGGATATGGGCCAAAATGAGATCAACACAGCTCAGAAGCCAATGGGTCAATGTCAACCATTGCTTAAAAACTTTCAATGGCTGTTCATTGCCTTTAGAAGCCAATCCAAACAGCTTTATGACATAAAGGAATGTTCATGATTTAAGTTTATAAACTTTTAAAAAGCAGAAAATGAAAATACACGTGAGGAATAATCCCAATTTCAATTTTTAAATAAATGTACATTCATTCAAATGACATATACCAAGCATATGCTAGCTGTTGAGAACTGTTCTTAGAGCTTGTGATACAGTGGAAGAAGACAACTAACAAGGAAACAATATATAAAATACAAAGAGTAAGAAGGCAATTATCTGTTACTTTCTAGAGTTCATTTTCAATGCCTAAGTCAAATCAAAGTTTTACCAAAAGTGTTGAAAAAGATTTTACCTCTTCCCATTAGACATGAACTAGAAAGGACAGGCACTGCTGTGCCATATTGTGGCCCTCGATGGCAGACACTGTCTAAGACTGGAGTCAGCACAGAGGAAGAGGGGCCAAGAAATGAAGAATGGACTCTGATTCTGATTACCCCATTTGAACCCTTGTATCTAGCCATTCCTAAAGCCACCATGTAGTTTGGGTCAGGTTTTCGGTCACTTGCCCACAAGAGTCCTAACTAAGCCAGATCTCTGAGGTGGAAGCCACAATCTGCATTCTTAACTAGGTCCCCATGTGAATAATCATTGAGGAGGTAAAGAATTGGCTTGAGAACAAGGACTAGCAAAATTTTTCTAGACGAGGCCAGAGAGTAAATATTTTAGGCTTCACCAACCGTAGGGGCTCTGTTGCAACTACTCAACTCTGATGTTATAATGCAAAAGCAGCTATAGATGAAGGGGTATAGTGGTGTTCTAATAAAATTTTATTTATAAATGCAGGCAGTGGGCTAGATTGGGTCCATTGGCCATAGCACCAATCCCTGCTCTAGATCTAGAGCCATAAGTAAGGAGAACAGTACCATATCTGGAAAGGTCAACAGGATACAGTGTTTTTCCAAGATCTGTGAATTCTGAAACCATTTATTAGTTGAGGGAAAGAAGCCAATTCAATCATAACAAAAACATATTTATTGAGGGCTTACTATGTGCTAGATGCTATGCTAAGGAACATATCATTTAGGACACTTTGGTTAACAAGGAAAGAAATCCTGAATCAAACAACTTAAATAATAGAGATTTGTTATCTCATATAACAAGTATCTCTGAGATAGGATTTATTCCATTATTGGAGTTTCAGTGTTTAGTGATATGTTCAAGAACCTAGGTTCTATTTTACGTCTCTGCCTTCCTCAGGGCTTTGGCTTTGCCTTCAAGTAACTCCTCAATGACCACATGATGGCTACTGCAGTCCCTGGCCTCACATTCAGACCAAATAATCTTCAGAAGAAAAAGATCATCTCTTCCTCTGTCTGCTTCTTCGGAGTGAAGAAATCCTTCCCTGCAGCCCTTCCATACCAACATATTTCCGTCTCTTCTCTCATTAGTCAGAATTTGATCATATGCTCACTCTTAAACTAATCATTGGCAATGGAATTTCCAAGATTAGCTGAGACCAATCAGGAATTACCTCCTGATCTAGGCTATGTAGAGAGTATAGAGAATGATGGAAAACATGCATGAATATCTAAATGAAATCACGGTTCTGTTAGGAAGGAAGTATGGAGGCCAGGAATGAATATTGAATAAGGAACCACAGGTGACAATGTTAGGTGATATTCTTTTTTATTTTTACAGATGGGAAAATAAAGTTCAGAGAGAAGAAAGAAACTCACCCAAGGTCATACAACCAATAAGTGGAAGAGACTGGATTCAGACCCAGGTCTTTAACTATAGCACCCAAGACCTCAACCAACACATGAAAGTGCTATGGTAAAGCTGAAGATGTTGGGGAAGTACAGGATAGCTCCAAAGGTCCCCATAATCAAGTAAATTGGGTCGGTTATTAAACC